TGTCGGTGCCGGGCCAGAGGCCGTTCAGCTCGTCACAGGCGTCCCGCAAGCTGCCCGGCAGCGACCTGAGAGCGAGCGATGCTGGCAGCTGCGCTGGAGCCGTTGGGGGGCAGGAGGAGGAGGAGGAGGAGGACGAAGGCGTGGAGTTCGGGACGCTGTCTAATAAATTTTCTTCTAGAAAGTATTATCACAAAACCACAGCGCGCCTTCAGAATTTAAAACTTCAAGAAGAAGGAGAGGAAGAACCAGAAAGAAAACCTCGACGCGGTCCTAAGAACACCCCATACTGGTACTTCTTACAATGCAAGGCCCTCATCAAGGACGACAGGGTTTGTTCCCAGCTCTTCACTTGTTTCGTTTTTAAGAGCAGTTCATCATTGAGAAACAGCACAGCCTTCCTGGGCTGGAAGTACTCTGGTTTCGTTTGCCAGACCTGGATTATGCTGCTGGATGGATGACTCCATCTTTCTGTGTTGGCTTTCCCTCTGAAAATAGGAATGGAGTTAACTCATCATTTTTTAGTGTCCAGACAGTTACTTTTTCTACAAATTCAGCCTTTCCTCAACCTGTCTCCCTCCAGTCACTCTGCCATCCCCCCGGGAGTCCTGGCTTAGATATTTGCATGCCACTATTCCTCATGCCAAGCCCCTGCAGCTCTGTCCCACCTGTATTGTCCTATCACTTAGTATCTTTACAGAAATAAGTAAAATAAGAATTTGTGAGAATCCTGTGCTCTGTAGGACCTCCACCATGACCTCCCCACAGCTCATATATTAATATCCATTGTATTTGCTTCTCTTGATGCCTCCTCGTGGTTTTCCTCTTCCCTGTAGCTGGCAGAGGCTCTGGAGCTGTTTGAGGTGCAGATGCTGAAGGAAGAGCGCGTGCAGCCGGAAGAAAGCAATTACACTGTTCTAATTGGCGGCTGCGGCAGGGTCGGCTATGTGAAGAAGGCGTTCAGGCTCTACAATGATGTAGGTTTACGTTCTCTCCTCTCTCAAACCTTCAATTACCTTTTCTAAGTTAAAACAGTTTCCAGCATTGGTTATGTTACTTTGTCGTCAAAATGCCTTGGAGTTAGTGTTTGCACCTTCTTAGCCTGAAACTCTTAAAACCGATTTAGGAAATTCTAGAAGTCTTTTTCTAAAAAGCCAGTTCCAATTCTTCTTCCCTTCTCTCAGATGAAAAAACGAGGCTTAACTCCCACCGAGGCCACTTACACAGCCCTGTTCAATGCCTGTGCCGAGTCGCCGTGGAAAGACTCCGGCCTGCAGAGCGCTCTCAAGTTACGGGAGCAGCTAAAGAGCAAAAACGAAGAGCTGAACCTCATCACCTACCACGCGCTGCTGAAGGTCTGTGCCCTGTGCTCGGATCTCAGGATGTGCTTTGATGTCCTGAAGGTAAGTACGTGACTTTTCTCACATTAAGTGTAGTCTGCTCTAGTTAAAGCTCCTGGAAGTTGCCACATTGCGCAGTCGTCTTTATTTAATTTCTAGCAGAGTAGTTAGAGATCACATGTTTATATTTATTTACTTACTGAACAAAGTTTTTGTGGAGTTCACAGCTACAGTATCAGTCTCGGTTTGTTTTGAAGACCTGTGACTGATACCTAGTTCCTTTGAGAGCTCTTACAGCGGCTGTTCTCAGAAGGGCCACTCTGGGAGCAGCTCAAAGGATTGCTGCTCCTGCTCGCAAATTCCCTGTAGCTCCTGTAAGGCAGAAGCTGGGATCTGCGCGGGCATTTTAGGGAGGGTTTTTTCTCCTGGAGCACTCATTCTGCTCACAGCACTGGGAGGGAGTATGCCCAGAAGACAGCAGCTGGATTGGGGTTTCACAGCCAGCTGGGACAGACTGTTTGGGTAACTGGGAAGGTTAATGCTCTCTCTGCTCTTTTAGGAAATTGTGCACAAGGGCCATGTTCCCACAGCGGAGACCTTCAGCTTCCTTCTCATGAGCTGCATAAAGGACAGTGAAAATGGCTTCAGATATGCCTTACAGGTTTGTCTAACTGGGGAGGAAAAAGTTCTTCTGTATTGGAACTCATCATCTGAACACAGAGGAGGCAGCAGGTTGTTCAGAGCTGGTGAAACAGGAGGAGTTCAGCTCCTCCTCCTCCTCGAAGTTCTGTAAACTGAACATCTGGTGTTCATCTTCCCCCTTTCAGGTTTGGAAACAAATGGCTAAACTTGGAATAAAGTCCGACAGCCACATTTACAATTTGATGCTGTGTGCTGCGAGAGACTGTGGAATAGGTGATCCAGTCGTGGCTTCTGAACTCCTGCTCAGAGGCACCGAGGAGAACTCATCTCAGCTAAGGCTTGCACCCGGGAGGCAGAAGAAGGTGAAAAATCAGAAGAAGGGATTAGAGAGTGCAGCTCTTGTCCAGCTGGATGTGGAAGGTATGGAAAAGCAGTTATTTCAGGAGAGTTCGGTGCAGCCTGAAGGACTGATCTGTCAACAAAATAAAAATGCGAATCAGGCTGAATCCGAACCAGCTGCTCTCAGCGTAGCTCCCAGCAGGACCGGAGCGTTGATGAGGAGAGGCCAGAATGAGATGGAGCAGAAACAAGCATGTCTAACCCAGAAGCAGCACTTCTGCAACCTGCCCAACTTGCTGGATTCCAGGATGCCTGATGCAGCCGTGGTTTCCTTGGGGACAGTGGCCACACCGTCTGATAGACTGGCTTTGATGGGGGACGTGGAAGGCTTCTTGAGTAAAATGAAAGAGGACAATGCACAACCCAACATTAAAACATTTACATTACTGGCTGAGCTGGTGGAACCCCAAAGCCCCTCAGAGTCCTCTTTGCTGGCGCTCCTAGATGAGCATAAAGTAAAGGTAGACGTGACCTTCTTTAACACTTTAATAAGGAAGAAAAGTAAACAGGGAGACCTGGAAGGAGCAAAGGTGAGAAAAACTCAGAACCAGCCCTGTCACCACCTCCTTGTCTCAGGCCTCCAGCATTACCCATGTTTCGCTTCAAGTCCTGTTTCAGTGTCCGCAATAGAAATGGGGAATGTCACTGTTTCCACAAACCGCTGTTTGGGTTAATTCTGAAGTAGTTACAGATTCTGTTGTAACACCTTCAGCTCTGTCTGGAAAGCTACAGCGAGACTCTTTGGAAACTGATGTCAACTCTTGTATCTTGCAGAGCGTGCTGCCAGTTCTCGTGAAGAGGGGACTATCGCCCAACCTCCAGACATTCTGTAACTTGGCAATTGCTTGCCACCATGAGAAGGATGGCCTGCAGTTACTCTCAGATTTGAAGGTAATAAACTCTGATGCTTGGGGTTTGAGCTGCAGGAAGAAGCAAACTGAAGTGTTAATGCTTCTGAAAGGACCTGCTGAGGTTTCTGTGGCGAGTGGTTGTGTTCTCAGTCCAAAAACACGCAGCTCTAGAGTAGGTGCCGGCTCAGGTGGTGTGTCCCATACCTGTGCTGGGATAGGAGGGGGCTCGGGGTGTGCTGGCACTGCAGAAGCTGCTACGCGGCTTCCAGAGCAAGAGCCTTGCTCCTTGTGCAAGAAGACCCTGCATGCCTTTTCCTTCTGCAAGCCCTGTGCTGGTCAGCAGATAAACTAGTCTAACTGTAGCCTTTGTTGTTTCCAGAGGTCGGGAATAACTCCTAACAAGTTTATCTACAGCACCCTCATTGCTGCCGCTGTGAGGCGGCTGGATTACGGGTACCTCACAGACATCCTTCGAGACATGAGGAACAACCAGGTGCCTCCCAATGAAGTCATCATCCGCCAGCTGGAGTTTGCAGCACAGTACCCTCCCAAATTTGACAGGGTAAGTAGCCACGACTGGTCAGAGCGTGAAGGCATCACGAAGGACACCAACAACAAGGGGAAAGGTAGATGTCTGCCAAAGCCTTTTTCCTTTGGCTTGGTCTGGCTGACAGTTCCTCGATGGCCCCGTCTTAAGTAGCAGCATATAGCTATCACATGGTGGTACTGAAGTGAGCTCTCATCTAACAGAAACTTTTTTGTTGGATTTGTATTTGCAGTATAAGTCAAAGAACTCATACCTGGAGAAAATTGATGGTTTCCGTGGCTACTACTATCGGTGGTTAAAAGTAATGGCAGGAGAGGAGACCCCCCATCCGTGGGAAAAATACAGAACAGTGAAACGTGCGGTAGGTGACAGCGAGGCAGAGGCTGCGCAGGAGCAGCCAGGACAGAAGCAGCAGTGAGCAGGACGCTGAAGTCCTGCAGCTTCCTTCTGCTGGAAGAACTTGGAACTTGCTGCCTTAAACTGTCTTGTGGTAAAGCTGCTTGGTATTTCTGTGAATCTAAGTTATTGCAATAACTACATAATAAAATACTCGTCCTTTGCTTTAAGGAGAAGAAAATACAGTTTCAGGGAATTTCCTTCAACTGCAGAGGATGAGATAGGCTGTAGTTTAACAAACTCTGTACTAAACAAGGAGAAGCAAAATCAGATTTAACAGTGGTTTAGCTCAGTTCTAGTTGTTTCTCTTTCCTGGGTTCTGCGTGTATCTGGGCGCTTAACAAGTGACCTGTAGGTCTCTACACTGCTGCCACTCCTGAATGGATCTACGCACTGACTCCAGGTCACAAACCTCAGCAGAGTGTTCCAGTGAAATTTAGCTTCCTCCTACCCAAGATCAGAGAGCTTAAATCAGACTGTAGTTTTCAGAACTGTATTATTTCCTGTCCTCACAGCCTTAGTTGAGAAGAGGCATAAGAGCTGGTTAAAAACAATCCACCTTTACAACACCTCACAGGATGTAGAGCAACCAAAGCACATCCAGCAGGAGAAGGAGGTCATGTTTTGCCAGAAGATCACAACACTGTCTCAGGAAGGCAGACTTTATTTCAAAACAAATGGCTACACAAAAACCTACTCCAGCACAACCCCCCCTGTATACGATCCAGATGAGTGCTGCTGGTTTAGTTGCTATAGGGAAATATCCCCTCACACAGAGGTGGCTAGGACTGCACTACCAGTCTGTTGAGGAGGATGGTATCCCTCAGTTCAAAAAGCAGTCTGATGGCTAAAGGCTTCACCCAGAACAGCCTCTGCAGCCGCAGTGAGTGCATTCGATGATCCTCCCCTGGAAAAGAAACACGAGGAGGGTGTTTCAGCTGAGTGACAGGAGCAGACAGACCAACAGGCTCGGGCCTCACGGCAGAGAACGGGTCTGTGTGGGAAGGGTTTCTAACACCTAGTTTTCTGATGGTTCCCATACTTTAAACGACTGCATGCCAAAGCTGACAGTACCTTCAGAACCAACTAGATACCAACTGCCAGCAAAGACAGAAAATGTTAGACTAGAGGAAATGACCAGGAAGAGCAGCACTACCTCCTCTGCTGGCCCTGACCTGGGAGAAGTCAGATCAGGTACTGCAAGGGTCCAGAGAAGCAGAGGAACAAGCTGAAAACCCTTACCACTTCCAGCTTGCTTTTGGGGACCCTGCAGATGCAGTTGGTTCCAAAGTTGGTGTCCCGCGTCTGGATGCACCGCAGGCAGCAGAGGTTCTCATAACCCTGTTTCTTCCACTTTGCAATCAGGTTTTTGTCAGCGTATCCTTCCTTGATGCAGTATTCATAGAGTTCTGCAGAGGAGCAGACACCATCACAGTCAGACCCCAGGAACTGTTAGAAGACCCACTATGAGGGATTACTAGCTGTAGTAACTATTAGCTAAAACGAGGCAGCTGCCAGCCTTCCCTCCATCTTCCCTCCCCAGAAACCTGATCCTTCCCACCAAATCCCAGTTCAGACCCATCTGCAGGTGGACATCTTACTCTGTTCTGTTTTCCCCTCCCCAGGGTGAAACATTTGCGTTCCTCACCTCTGCTGATAGCTTTTCTTTTATAGAAGAGATCAAAGATGTAACGTGTTTTCTGGTGATGAATTCTGAAGATAGGCCACAGGGATTCCACTTTCCTCTTCCCTTCGTGAGGCTCAGTCTCCGCTGGGAGGGAACACACACACCAGCTGTCAGCTGATCATTTCAGGCAGCCAACTCCGTTCCTTAGTGACTTTACAAGAAACTTTTCCAAGAATATTCATAACTTTCATGCATTACAGAGATAAGCCCAAGCTTAATGGGAGAAGATTCAAAGGAAAGGGACCTGACCTGGACCAGCTCCTTTATAAAGGAAATAAAACCAGGATGACAGTGGGGATGACACACGGGGATGGCAGGTGACTTCACGGCTGCCCAGGCTCGTCAGACCAGAGCAAAGGCACAGACAAGAACTACACACACACCAGCAACTGTCAGCCAGGGCTTGACCATGGCATGTCCTGAACCAAACCTCTGTGCTCCCCAGCCTGTGTATGCCCAGAGAAAAGCAACCAGTCCTGTCCCAGTCTGTCCACAGTGTCACTGCAAGGTACCGATGGAAACAAGGTCTGTCTGTATTTGGTGGGGCAGCTGCGTTTCCTGAAGCAGTTAAGGATTCGCTTGTTTCAAGAGCACACCCCTGAGCACACCCAGCTCTGCCGCTCACCTTCTCTCATCTTCTGATCCAGCTCATCCAGCGTTGGCTCAATCAGCTCCCAGCCATCCGGGGGAGGCTTCCTGCTCCTCTTCACTTTGGGCATCGCCTCCAAAACGAGGAAGGTGAAAGGCGAGGGAAGGAGGGTTTGGCTGCTCTCAAAATGTGTGGGTGCTTCAAAGCCCTGACAACCACTGGAAAAAAATCAAAAGGAGAACAGCGGTGAGATGTATTTCTCCAAAGATTTTTACAGCCCTTTGCCATTTTCCACTTCGACGATAGAAATGAGCTTTTCAGAGCTCCTGAAAGGAGTGTAACCCCGCCCAGCGCGGCCCCGGGCCGAGCGCTGACCCGTCCCACCCCAACGAACCGGTTTTTCT